CTTTTGGAGACTCATGTTTGAATACTTATTTTCCAGTTGGTGGAACTGTTTGGGAAGGAGCACAGCTGTGGCCTTTGTGACAGAGGTGCATCAGACAGGCACTTAGGGTGCAAAGCTCCTGACCATGCAACTGTGCTCGCTTGTCTGAGGTTCAAAATGTAAGCTCTCAGCTCTTGCTGCTGCCATTATAGATCTAACCCTTTGGAACCACAAGCCATGGAGGCCTTCAATTACAATTTTCCTTGGCCATGGTGTGTTTTATGACAGCAATATGAAGGTAACTATACCGAAGTGCTGTGTGGAAGATCAGAACACAGAAAACCTTCCCTTTCAACTACAGAAACCAGCAAGAAATTCTTCTCTAACTTTAGCTCTAGAGCAGTTAGCATCATCCTGTGCCTTTAGGTTAGGAGTGATCCCACAATGGATGGGTCTAGACTTCCATGGTGAAGCAACCCTGCTAAAAACATTCTCCTTTACTTCTAACCAGACATATCAAAAACTTCTCAGTTCCCTCTACTATAGAAGAGTGTCATGCTAGGAATGATGGTCTGAAGGCACAGGGTTAAATTTATACTGCTATTTATTAAAGATTCAATATGTATTATACATTATAGTGTACTTAGTGAATCAGGATCAGCTGAAGTTCTAAATGAGACCCTGTCTCAAACAAAGAGAACAAATCAAAATTATATTTATTAAGCTAAGGACATTTTTTCATTTTCCTAATAAAACCTAATGTTAAAATTTGATTTATTTTTATTTTGTTCACTATGGTGTTTTCTCTAATCATAGCCCAAGATAAAGGTCAACTTTTTTTTTTTTTGACTAGTTTTTCCTCTCTAATCTTGAGATTTATATATCATAAATTGTTTTCATTGTTCATGGTATATTCTGAGAACTGGCTGTAATTTAGTAATTACTGCAAAAAAATTCTGCTTTTGTAATCACTTGCTATGTACCTCAGCCTTGAGCTAGAATAAAAAAAGATCCCCCATTTTTAATCAGGCTGCTCTTCTCTCCTATTTCAGAGGAGACTACAGGTTTGGCTTGGCCATAAAATAAATTTTGTGGCACAGGCTTTCCTCAAACTCATAGTAATCTTCCTGCCTCTATGGTCTGAATGCTAGGATTGAAGAAATGCATTACTATGCCCACCTTGAACCTCGAGTTTTATGGTGCAAGTTCTGTCCATCTGTCTGTGTCTCTCTTACAAAAAGAATTTTAGTCATTCTTTTATGTATATGAGTGTTGTGCCTGTATGTGTGTCTTTGTACCATGTTCATTCCAGTTGACCAGGGAGGCCAGAAGATAGAGTAAAAACCCTGGAAAGTGAATTACAGACAGTAGTGAGCTGCCTTATATACTGGGACTGAGACCGGGTGATCTGGGTGGAACTTCAATGCTCTTAGCTTCTCCGGGACTTTCTGGCCGAGGTTTTCTATTTCTGATAATGTTCTCTGTTCAAGCCATTCTGTTCACTTGGGGGTCGGGCTTCTGTTGAGGGCACCCCTTCAGGCACCAGACAGATAAGCAAACCACCCTAGAGATGTGAATGAAACCTGGTGCAGACTGACTTGGTTCATCCGGATCAACCTTGGAGGCATCTAATACTGGGCAGCTCATTGCTAGAATGTTGAAAACACGGTACAGTTTGGAAAAATATTTCCAGATAACAATCAGTCCAATTCCAGGTACACAATAAAGGTTAAGGTGTGACTTCATAGAAACTCCTTAACAAAGAACATGTGACCATGAGGGTGGATTTTATAGCTAAAAGATCTAGATTTAATGTGGTCTCTGACCAATAGCACAGAGGTCAGCCAGCCATAAAGTACGTGTGACATCTCCCCTAAGGATAGGTAATAGTCTATCGAAGAAGGACTCTAGTAATCGTTCTGGAAAATTTGAATATGGTTTGCCTCTATAGCAAAAGGTAGGTGAGGTCTGCCTCCACAGATAGCAAAGAGGTCACCAGGCCATTAACAAAACCCACTTCCAGCCTTTTGGATTAAGTGCAGGTATTTTATCTCCTTCATTGAGAAGAGGCCCCTGTGTGTTTAACATTCCTGGTTTCCCTAGTGATCTGTGGGCTCAAGGACCTTTGTACTCCCAACAATCTGTTGCTCATTAAAGAGTGGATTTCTCCTACAAGTGAGAGGATTAGCTTCAGGCAAAGATAAGCTCCCTATTTGGTTATCCAATGCAACCTGAAACCTTATACACACAACCAACAGAAATGGACTCAGCAAATTTTATTCATATATTTGAGCATACTTATTCACACATACTAGAAAAGGAAGAAATTGGCTGGGAAGAATTTAGGTAGGGATAGAGAGAAGACTGGAGGGGAAAAGTGATGTAATCTATTTTAATTAAAATGTATAAAAAGGGGCTGGAGAGATGGCTTGGAGGTTAAGAGCACTGGGTGTTGTTACTGGGGGCCCAGGTTCTGTCTCCAGAGACCACACGGTAGCTAACCATTTGCTGTAGCTCCAGCCTGAGGCATCTCCTGCCGTCTTCTGGCCTCTGTTGACACTGCACACAGTCAGATAAACACCCACACATATAAAATAAAAATAAAGCTTAAGAAATAGAACTCTATACAGTGATGTCACAGCCCTGAGACAGACAGTAGTGAAGGCTAGTTAAAATTAACTCCTGGTTCTGCATGGAGGCAGCAGCAGCCTTCTCTGAGCCAGTCTGCTCAGAGGCGAAAGCAGCCTGACTGAGGTTAGAACAGCCCAGCAAAGCTGATCCTCTGAAAGCACGGCCCACAGTGCTAATAGGTAACTTTTTCTTGATGTTTCTGAATTTGTATTCTTTGCTTCTGGATGTGTGAGAATTGTGGCATGGATACATCTGTCTGTGAGATCACACATCATGACTGGCAGGTAGCACAGGCTCCAAGCCTTCCTTGACTTCCAGCTAACAACTTGTGGTACAAGATGAACATTCCAGAGGCATTTCCTTATAATTTACATATGTTTCTGCATGACTCAGAGCTCTGAATGCCCTTAGCTATTTCTGCTTTTATATTGTGACCACGTTCAGAAGAGGATTTAACTTAGCATGCACAGGAACAGGAAAACCTGTATGTGAAGATATCCAGACTCTCTACGTACTCAATGCTTTCTTTGTTGAAGAAAACCACTGCTTTGGAAATAATACCCATGTTCTCCTTGCCTGCCACATGGAAAAAAAAATATTTATCTGCTTTTCTGTCTTGGCTGATGTGATGGTTATTCTTGGTAGGCAAATTGAGTACATCTGGAATTAACTAAAACCCAAAGAATTGGGTACTATGTGGGATTTTTTGAAGTGGAGAAACCCTTCTTTAATCTGGATCTTGTGAGGTGATAAGATCCAGCTTTAATCTAGGCCACAGCTTCTGGTGGCTGTCTGCATATACAAAGGACACTGAAGATGGTAGCTCTTTCTCTTTGTTTACCCTACCTCTGGCTAGCAGGTTTTTTTTTTTTTTAAACTGGCATTAGAACCTCCTTCTTTGGGATTCTGCTATATACTGAAGACAAGCTGAGACATCCAGCAACATGGACTGAAGCACTACTGGTGTTATGCCCAATTGGTGAGACCCCCAAAGGCCATCAGGAATCAACTCTGCTGCAAATACATGAAGGTTTATTGCCTATGTGCTTAAACACAGGTTGCAAACTTCCTGTGGAAGCAGGAGAGGAATGCGGCCCCACAGTCTAGGGGAACAAGGTTTTTAAAGGGAAAAAAATACAAGCAGGGAATTACATGCCTTGGCGTTACATGATTGGGTAAGGGAGATGACTTTTGAAATGATTGGTTTGCTTTAGGGGCCAAGACCACGAACTGTTCTGGCCTGGCCACCTGGGCCGGTTTCCTAGCAACTGTATCTCTAGCATATAGGAAAAGAGTTCAGTAAAGCTAGTTCCTTTCCCCAGGTGGCTGGACATGCCTCCACCTGACTGGCCTTCACTCTGGCCTGTGCTCCAAACCCCAAACTAATACCCCCAAAAGCAATTTTCAATTCTTTGGTCTCTCACTGGATGCTTCAACTTTTCATTGTAGACAGCCATTGTTGGACTAGTTAGTTGGACCACAGCCTGTGAGTCAGTCTAATAAATACACTTTTTTTTTTAAAAATGGTTTTTCAAGATGGGGTTTCCCTGTGTAGCCTTGGCTGTCATGGACTCGTTTTGTAGACCAGGCTGGCCTCACAGGCTGAACTCAGAGATCTGCCTGCCTCTGCCTCCCAAGTGCTGGGATTACCCGCCTGCGCTGCCCCACCCGGCTCCACTTTCTACATATATAGAGAGATTTCTTCTCTTAATTCTGTTCAACTAGGGAGCCTTGACCAATACAGCTGTGTCTGTGCTGTAAGAGAACAATTCTTCACCTTCTCATTGAGGAGGATGTGCTGGCTAAGAATAGGGCTCCACACTCTTTGTCATCTGTTTCCTGCTTTTCTCCCAGGCTTGTCTCATACCTACCAGGTAAAAAGTAGCCGCACTTTACCTGAACCCAGCATGAAGCCACAGAACACAAATCTTGTTTCCTAAAATCTCTTTAGTTGTTAGTCATCTAGGCACCTTTCCACTTGTGGGACAGATTAATAACTCCACTGCAAGATGAGTAAGGGGCTATGCAAGCTATCCACCTTGATTCCAGGAGAAGACAAAGCTCTTCCTGTGTGCTAAGAGGCTAGCTCAGGCAATCTCTGAAATTGGGACCCGGTAAAGGAATGCAGTGACGCTGCCCACAAAGGGCAGGAGCAGGCGGCTGAGCTGCGGGAGCTGGAGTGGTCGGTCTTCCCTGCGGCTGGGTGAGAACACCGACAGGATGCGCACAGGTACTACTGAAATGCAGACTTCTGCGTATCTGGAAAAGGTGTGGGCTACGACCCACAACACGTCGTCACACTCTAACCCTAAGGGCGGTGCTCATGTCACTCAAGAATCACTGGCCAATCAGAGCCTTGCAGTCAGAGAGGAGGCGGGTTCTTCCGGGTGCCGAGCTGCAGGCCCTGCTCAGTGGCTGAGGAGGCTTGAAAGGTTCGGTGTGTAGTTCTCTGAGCGCTGCTGCTGGGCGCTGCGGTGAGGGGAGCAAGCTCCGAAGTCGCCATGGTGAGCACTTGGTCACTGCCACGACCGGGAGGAGCCGGCAGCTGAGCAGCGGGGGCTGGTGTGTGGGTCCTCCCCGGGGCTGGGCGGGAACCGGCGGCCAGATGCGGCCACCTGTGAGGTCCCTTGTCCAGCGTGGCCTTTGAATAACTTTTCTATGGAGGCTGCATCCGCGCAGAGCATTTGGAGCAGGGACCTGTGTAGAGAAACACCCTTGGCAGGATGCCAGACCTGGAGCGCCCTAGTTTCCGCAGCATCTTCTACAAGTTCTGCCTTAGCATTTCATCTTTAGGTACAGAATCCATTTTGAGTTAATTTTTTGGCGGTTGTAAACGGCGTCTCTTGTGTTGGATAGTCCTCCAGTAGTAAGCTGTGATGTAAAAAGAGCAGAACTGATGATGTAAAGGATTTACCAACGCTTAGGAGATAGTAAGTCACACCAAGTAGAATTTAGATGTTGGAGGATTGCCTCTACAACACCCCAGGGATTGGGGAATCGCTCAGTGGTAGAGCGCTTGCCTAGCAAGGCCCTGGGTTCGGTCCTCAGCTCTGGGAAAAAAACCAAAAAATCCAAAACCAACCAACCAACCAATCAACCAACCAATCAACCAACCAACCAACCAACCAACCAACCAACCAGCAAACCAACCAACCAACTAACCAAAAAAATCCACCCCGCAGACAAGTAGTATGCTAACCAGGCCGGTTAGAGGTTACAATGCTAGGATTCACATGTGTTCCCCTGGACTGTCCAGAAATACAGCTCCAAACCATGGCAAAGGAAATAGCTGTGATTTACAGCCAGCCACCAGGCCCATCCCCACATCAAAGAGCAGGCGTCTGACAAGCTACTCACTCAGTGGGGCATTACAGGATCACAGTCAGCCCTGAGGCCTGGTGTGCCGTCAAGGTTCAGTTTTCTTGAGAAACCATAGTTCTGCTACACACAACCCTTCCCCTAAGGCCCTGGCTACATACAGGCTTTACCAGCTCTCCCAAGCATATTCCTGGTTTTAGAGAAGGAGCTGTTTTATTTCTCAGGGCCTTAGGGAAAGCTCCCGAGGCGTAGGCCCAAGACTTACTGGTTCTGCCAAGCATGTTCCTGGGTTTCAGAAAGAGCTGTCATTCTCCATACATGAGGACCTCAGGGAAAGCCTTTCTTGAGCAGGCCAGCACTCAACACAACAGTGTTTTTCCTTTTCAAATGGTTGTCAGCAGGTGTCATCTTGCCCATGTGGCAGAACCATGGGTTTCTCAAGAAGAAAACTGAACCTTTCTGGCACACTAGCGTACGTGGAATGCAAAACCTGTGCTAGGCTGGCTGCTCTTTTAGCATTAACCAGTGTATCTGGTCTTTGTTACTTTGTGGTTCCCCGGGCTTCATCACCCCTCCCCACACCCCTATTTTACTCCCTAATACTAGATAGGAAGGAAACAAGGATAGAGGAGAAAGAGGTCCCTGAATTTAATTCCTTTTCTTTTGTTTCTTCTTTGACCACAGCTACTAACAAACCACAACTAACCTCCCCAATAGACCAATAACCCCCCACACCACCTCTTGGGGCTCTCAAATTTATGTACCCTCTGAAAAGTTTCCAGAATTCCAAAAATCACACCATCACAGAAATTATCTGCAGCTGGCAAAACCATGCTTCTGCTAGAGCATGAGGCAAATCATAGTCAGCTGCTGCAGACAGTCTGAAGCAGCCCCACATCCCCATACCTGGGATTAAAATGAAAGCACATTCTTATAATATTTATTTGATTTTTAAGAAACCAAAATTCCATAATTCTCAAAAATGTCACTACAAACCAGAGCTGGATGCAAGCTATTATCAAAGAGATTTTTTTAAATTAATCTTTTGTGTGTGGAGTGATTTCTCCCTGGGAAGGCATATTAATTTTAGAACAGCTGCATCTTCAGCCTTTAAAGAAAATGTTTCTGAGACAAGCTATGTTGATGGAGGCCATTGTGCTCCCAATCTCTTGCTCCCCAGGGCAATGACCTTGCTTTCCTTTTGATTAAACTTCCTAAATCCTTAAGTTAAAGGGATATCCCACAACAGAGTTTAAAGATTACTCATTTGAGGCATGTGATTAACTGTCCATTGCAGTAACAGAAAAAGATTTGTATGCGTAACATGGCTTCTGCCTTCTGACCAGAACAGTTTACTGTGTACACTACTGCAGAGTGAAACAGAGTAAGAAATAGCTAGAACAAAGATGAAAGCTTAAGGGAGCCAGCTGCAGGGTGAGTGACTGTATAATTTCCCAGCATGTATTAATTCATGCATGTGAATGAAAGCAGACCACTTTAGTGGGTGTACAATTTGAAGAGGTTATGCTGAGACAATGAATATCAAATTTCTAGTTAGGAGACTCCTATGAAGATAGGTGCAGTCCTCATTGACATAGCACAGAGGATTGGGATAGAGGTCTTTGGTTGTAACTGTGTGTGTCAGGTCACAGGTCTTAGCAGCTAACATTGCACATAGGGGCAAGGTAACACTGGATCTTATTAATGCTGTTTCCTCTTTTTCAAAGTCAGTATAGTTAAACGGTGTTTTAAAACTATATTTATGTTTTTAAGAAGTCAGTTGGTATTTTTAAATTTCATTTTCTTAATGCATCACTGTTCTAGTCTTTTATTTGTTTCTATTCTTCAATGTCTTCAGGTCATTAAGAATTCAGGTACTTTGATTATTTGTTTCTGTTTAGAGCAGTATTCTCTTGTAGATCAGGCTTGCCTTATCCCTTGTAATTGAGAACTGCTTTGAACACCTGATCCTGCCTCTGATGCCTTGTTCCTGGAAGACAGTCATGCAACTCTTTCCAGGCTGGGCTCTGACTGGTCCCTGAGAAGGAAAAGAGACCAGTGAACGAGTATCCTCCTAATTACAAATAAAGAGGGACCTGTGTAAGAACTGAGTTCACTGACCAACTTTGAAACTGTTGTAGGCATAGCACAGAAAGGGAGGAGGAGGAGGAGGAAGGAAGGTGAGAGTTTTGATAGTAGTTGGCATTTGCAGTGAGTAGTCAGGTAATCTATTTTAGTCGGTCAGTAAAAGTCCAAGCTGGCCATTTGTGGGTTCACAGACCAGGGCAATCAAGAATCTGGAAAAGGAACTGAACTTATTTCTAGAAACAAAATATCTGTCGTTTAACCAACACAGAAGATCTTGATAAGCTGGTGTGGCTCCGCCTAACAGAAATGCTATTTTTCCTGTCCCGAAGTGCGCAGCCTGAGAGAAAAGGGGCACACACTGCTGGGCGGGCTCACGTAATTGGACCATAAAGCCTGTTTCAATTTTTAAAAATAAAATTGGAGATTATAACATTTTCTTTCTTTTTTTTTCCTTTTCCTACTGGTAAGTCTCAAACCCTGGGATAAATTGCTGAGGTGCCTGTTTAATAGGTCAGTGTGGCCCTGGCTGTCAGGTTCTTCCAGTCCCACCCTTTAGCCCAGGGGCTGGGTTGCCCTTCTTCCAGCTGCCCCTTCTTAAGGAATCCAATTGTTTTGGTTACTCGGTCTTTTTCATCTGTCCTTTACTCCTCTGGCCTCTTGGTCTGGCTCTCCCCTCTTTGTTCCAGCCTCTCCTGGCATGGCTCAGGGTCCTGTCTACAGTGAGCTCTCCCAGCTCTCCCTGCCTCTGACTGTGCTCTCCCTGCCTCTGGCTGTGCTCTCCCTGCCTCTGGCTGTGCTCTCCCTGCCTCTGGCTGTGCTCTCCCTTCCATCTAGAGTAAACTTTCTATTCCACCCTACCTAGGAGCAGCCACATCCGATCCTTTTTATTTTTATTTTTTCATTCGCTTCCCATTTCCTGTCCTTGCTTTCACAGTCGTAGTCACTTTTTGCTTCAATTGTTTGTTGCTGTTTGAGTTTGACTGAAGTTGGCCTGCATGTCTTCCCAGCTCTGCTGCACTGGACATTGAATGTGTAATGGAATGTGCACACAAAGGATCCTGTGCCTTGAAAGCACAGGTGCCCTGAGAGAGTGGAAGATTCTACTGAAATACAAGTTTACCAGACTGAGGGTCTGTCTGCAGCTGGGGTGGAAGGGCAGAGCTGGGAAGGCCTGTTCTGTCTGGGTCACTTGCTCTCTAATCCTCCCATAGGGAAGCTGCTGCTGTCCCGAGGTCTGGCTAATGAGGGACTCTGGGCAGGCCAAGCAATCAGGAGCGCCTTTGAGAGGTAGCTTGCATGTTCTTTCCATATTTGCCTCAGATGCAGTGGGTCATAGAGCTGTGAGGGAGACCACAGTCCATGCCATGGTGAGTGTGGTGGTCATCAGGAAGAGCAGGTTGGCTAAGCGCTCAGATTCCAATATGCTTGGACTGGGATGACCAGCACCCAGACTGTGGTTCTTTTGGTACATGTGGTGGTCTGGGCAGAGGCCCCTGGCCTCTGAGCCTGCCTGAGTGTGGATTCCCTGGAGAGGGGGAAGCTTTACAGCTCTAGCCTTAGGAAGCTGTGTTGCTTATAATATCACTGTCCAGTGTGCACACACAGACATTACTTTTGGTGTGTACTGAGAAGACATATTTGAAAACTAAAGGTCTGGTTTTTAGAAGTTTAGGAACTGGTAAAAAGGAGGTGATGGGGATCATCCTTCAATAATATTTGATTAAAGTCTTTTACCTTTCCACTACCACCAGCCACAATGGTGTGCTTCCGGGAAATTCAGTTCCAGGGTACAAAAGGAGTTTCTGAGATGCAGAGGTTTCTCAGACGTGCATGGTGTTGTGCAGGTGCATAGGGAGACTGCACATCTTGTGCCATAATCCACATGGCAGGAAGCAGGAAACATTAAATTATTCTTTAACATTGTTTTGTGTGTGGGCTTCACTGGGTTTGCTTGAAATCACGGAGGCATGAGGGGCTGCAGAGCCATAGCCCACCTTTCTGATCACCTCCACTTACAGAGAGAGTTCTAGAGCATGGGGCCTCTGTGTGGAAGAGAGATTAGTGGTAGCTGGAGGGCCAGAAATTGTAGTAGTTTAGG